CTTGCAGGTACATACTCATCACATACAGGGGTGATCTTGCACCAAACGAATCTTGTCGCAGTCAAGACAAAGCACCCAGAGAAATCAATCGCTTGGAACAATACAGCGCCATCCTCCGGAAGTCCATCCCTGATTTCAAAATCAAAACATTCACGAGGGGAAAAAAACGCCTTTCCTAGATGGCACAGAAGTTGGAGAGAGAAAAAAAAGAGCTATTTTCGGATTACACATGACAAGAAGAAAGCACGAGCAACAAAAAAAAGTTGCAGAAGCAAAATGAAGCGTGGGGTGCTTTAATTAGGTGATCGGGCCCCACAATGTTGAACGATTCACTCTCCCATGCCGTACTCAGCGCCATTGGAAGCAGGGCTATCCCGGTTGGGATTGCTGAAGGTGAGCTTCAGTTTCGGCTGACCTGGCGTGCCAGCAGTAAGCGGAGTGTCGGCGCCCGAGGCAAACTCGGTCGAGCCATCACCGCCAGCGTACTGATCCTCAAAGCTGGCAAGCTCGGGGTGGTCCTCGGTCAGTCGTCGCAATTCTACCAAGCACTTGGTCTGTTATATCATCAGTATATAAGAATTAATAATCAATAAGAATTCAAACTTACCTCGATGTCATTTGCATCCTGGAATAGCACACTACCATCTTCGTTGTAAGTGCGGGCATTCTGGCAAAGCAAGTGGATGTCGTTGCGGAATTCCCTCAAGCTCTGGTAATCGGCCCGCTTGATTTTCTTCTGGATCGCTTCCATAGCAATGGGATTTTGGATGATCATGTAGTAGTCAGGATAATAAGAACGTGGCGGGGGCTTCATGAATGGTTCGATGATTGAACGGACCATAGGGCCCTCTTCACTATCAGAGCCCTCCGGTTGCACCTCAGCCTCCATGTCCATCAACGACTGGATCACGGTGTCGACAATGCGAGTCAAGTTGGCACGGTCAGTGGGGTTGAGAGTATCCGGAACCTTAGGTTGGCGGCCCCTCTTGCGCTTAGGCTGTGGGGTTTCTTCCACAACTTCCTCGGCCTTCCGCTTGGGGGGGAGGACCACGGCGGCGCTTCTGCTTTTGGGGAGTCTCGTCATCATCAATAATCGATGGCTCGGGCTCGGGCTCGGGTGAGGAGTCCTCTCCGTCACGTCCAGTCTTGTTAGACTTGCGACGCTCAACGCGAGCTTCCTTGCGTGCAATTGCTTCTTCGATAGTGTCGTCATCGGCGTCCACCGCCATCAACCACTGCTCTTCGGTAAGACCATCATCGTACTTGGTCACCTTACGCTCACGAGCACCACGGCCAGTGACCTCAATCTCGACTTCTTCGGTGACAGGGTTATCCTCCTGCATGTAAATTTCGGGCAATTCTTGTTCGGACATCAGTCGAGGGTAGCGGTGGCCAGGACCATATTGATCGGTGGCAATTCGCTGCCTGTCCATCTCCTGGAAGATGGGGATTTCTTCTTCGGATCGTGCCATAATATCATTGAGTTCGTCATCATCCATTTCGTCGTGATCACCAATCTGTTCCGCAGCCTCTGCCGTGTCCAAAAGAGTTCGGAGAAGTGCATCTCGCTCTTCATTGGTGGACTTGTTATCGAACTTTCCGGCCTGGATGACCTTGCCATCCATGTCCAACTTGAATTGTGCACGCTCGAGAATTTTCTCTTCGACCGAGTTGGAACTGATAAGCCGCAAAATGCGGACCTCGTTCTTCTGACCAATACGATGGGCACGATCCTGGGCTTGCAAATCCTGGTGAGGATTCCAATCCGAATCATAGATAATAACGGTGTCTGCAGTCTGCAAGTTGAGACCAAGACCACCTGCACGGGTGGAAAGCAGGAAGCAGAAGTATTCAGACCCAGGAGCGTTGAACTGCCTCAAGAGGTCCGATCGGTCGTCGGACTTGGTGGATCCATCCAACCGAAGGTACTTCATTCCACGAAGGCGAAGGAAATCCTCCATGATGTTCATGATCTGAGTCATTTGGAAGAACATCAAAACTCTGTGGCCCGTAGCACGGAACTTGGGGAGAACACGATCAAGCAGCTCGAACTTTCCTGCCGTACGCCAAAGGAGGTCGTTGGACATGCGAGTGGGGTTCATCTGGTCTTCAACAGGCTCAAAGACGAAAGGATGGTTGCAGAGCTTTCGCAACTGCATAAGCATGTTGCTGAGACCACGCATTCCAGTCTTGCCGCCCTTGCCATCAGTGACGGCCATCTTGTTGTGGGTAACAAGTTGCTTGTACAACTTAGCCTGCAAGGCAGAGAATCGGCACTTGATGACACGCTCCTGCTTGTCAGGCAAATCTTTCTCGACATCCTTCTTCAACCGTCTGAGAAGGAACGGCCGAAGAACTTTATGGAGACGACGAATAACAAGAAGTTGCTCTTCTTCGCTCAGATCCATGCGGTCTTGGCCACCAGTATTTGCAAAAGGTGTGTTAAACCATTCGTCAAACGACTTGACGGACTTGAAAATGTTGGGAAGGACGAAGTTGAGAAGAGCCCACAGTTCGGGCAAGTTGTTTTGCAGGGGAGTACCGGTCAAAATGATACGGTATCGACTAGTGTAGTAGGTGGAAAGAGTGCTGCTCAGCTTAGACTGTGTGTTCTTCATGCGGTGACCTTCATCGACAATCATGTGTGTCCACTTGATCTTGCTGAGAACCGGACGGTCCTTGATGATGTACTCGTAGGTGGTGAGAAGAACCTGGAAGTTGCCCCAGCGGATCTGTTGCTGTTGCTGCTTTCGTGCATTGGGTGGGCCCTTGTAGACTACTTTGCTCACAGTCGGCGCCCACTTATCGAACTCGTTGTTCCAATTAGTGAGTGTGGAGAGTGGCACAATGACCAAGAAAGGCCCATTGTTCTTCTTCTTTTCGATGATGTGGGTAATCAAACTGATGGTCTGGATGGTCTTTCCAAGACCCATCTCGTCAGCCAAAATACCGTTCAGGTTATTGTTGTACAGTGAAATCATCCATTGCAGGCCCTTAATCTGATACTCCTTGAGAGTACCTCCCACGAGCATGGCAGGTTGGGTGGTGACTTCTTCGTTAATGCGATGAGCGACAGCGTAGTAGTCGACCTTCTTCTTTCCAGTGGCGGTGTTACTGTCTTCCTCGTTTTCGCTATCAGCGATCTCTTGGTCAGATTCGTCGTCGTAATCATGCGCCTCGCCATAACGATTCGCCAGGTTGCGCTGTTGTTCCTTGACGGATGCCGCAAGCTGCTTAAGGAAATTGTCGGTCTGCTTGAGCAGATGAGAGATACGCGAATCCTTGGCCTGTCCCAAAAGTTTCAGGTATGTCTCCTCGTCGTTGGCCTTCAAGGCCTGCAGACGTTGCTTGGCAGTTCGCTCCACACGCCTCTGCTCTTCGCGTTCCATGTGCTGGTGGTGTGAAATCATCATGCGACCGAGCTTCTGCGAGCGTGTACGTTGCTGGACAGAAGCATTGGCGAGGTCGGCACTGTGGTTTAGGATGGCCTGCAGCTGATCGTACTGCTTCTTCTTCTCTCGAGATTCGCGAGCATCACGCTGTTGCTTCTCAAGCTTCTCGGTGATACGAGCCTCACGTAGTGACTGCTTCTTCATGCGGCGGTGACTTGAGCGATTTGCTGTCATTCCCAAGTTACTGTAGTGGAACATCTCGCTCTGGAGCTGCTTGCGATACTGTCGCTGTTTGGGTAAAAGATTAAGTGATTTATACTCAATCAGAGCCTTGAGCTTGAGGGAGTCATCATAAGTTGGTGCGTCAGTCTTGCCGGTATCCCATACACCGAGGTTGGCGGGAAGTTGGGCAAGTTCTGCTTTGCGGGCGGTGATTTTATTGTACACTATGACCTCGCGATTCTCGCGCATCTGACCCAAGTCAATTCCAGGTGGCAAGAGAGCGGGGATGCGCACACGATTCGCGCGGTTGGCGTGATCAGTGTAGCTGATTGTCTTGGACAACGAGTCGTATGGAGACTGGAAGTTGTCATACCACTCCCTGGTCATGACTTCGGCATCTGAGCTTTCGGAGGGCTGGGTAGCAGCACCGTCATTAGCAGCTTCAATGACCTTTTCGGCTGCGGTAACATTGTCTGTGGGAGTAGGTGGTTGCGACTTCTTCTGGTTTTGGAAAAGCTGTTCTTGAACACGCGCGGGAATGGCGAGGTTCTTGGATAGCATCTTGAAAGCCAAGATTTGGTTTCGAAGAGTAGCCAATTGCTCGGGTGAAAAGCTACCGCTGCCAACTGTCGCAGCCTTCTGGTTCAGAGCAACTGCCGATGCATTAGTGGCAGCAGCTGCGGCAGTCGAGGAAGCCGAGGGTGTGCGACCTGTGAGATATTGGGTCAGCCCTGTAGAAGACCTTTGGAGGGCACCAGGAGAGTCAAGGACGAAGCTTACCATGAGAGCCATTGGCAGCTTCAGGGGCGCCGTTCATCTGTTGCTGTTGGCGCTGCTGTTGTGCCTGATGCTGAGCCATGCGTTGTTGTTTTTGGAAAGCCTGCTGCCGTTGAATAGCAGCAAGGAGGTTGTGGGCCTTGAGGAACTCCGGGTCATCAGGCCGAACACCTTGTTCTTGCATCTGCTTGTATTTCTGCGACAAAGTTAGAGACGACGGCACAGGCGAGCAAAAGACATAGGGAAGGTGCATGAAGTGATTGAATAATTAATAGCATTGCGAGTTGTAGTGTTGTAATGCGACAAACTTACCTGGAGTATCTCTTGGACATTTTGCTGCGTGAGGTTAGCCGGCAAGCTCACGTTGCCAGGCGCCATGTTGGGCGCTGGGTGTAAGGAAGCCATTATGACGCGTGTAATTTTTTTTAATTCATGAGCAAGCCAAGTAGGTTGGGGGTGGGAAATGTCAAGGTCGATGCGGAGTTGCGGAAAGTCACGGTCTCCACCTAGGTTTCAATTGCCAAGTCGCGCGGGCAAGAGAAGGGGCGGTCGCGGTCAAAATAAATAGGCAGTGACGGTGTGAGGTGAGCCTAATTATCGTGAATGCGATCAGTGGGCGACTGTACGGGATGCTTGGCGATGGAAAGCGTGATGTTTGGGGCCGTGGTCGGAGCTTCCGATGCGATGGGGGAGAGCGGGTACTTTCAGGGACAAGGGAGTCAAAGAAAGCGAGTAAAGAGGCGAGTTCCCAGGGTAAGGCAAGGTGGGAAGGGAACTCAAAAGTTGAAGGCGCGTTGGGATGGCGCGTTCAAAAAGTGGATGGATGAAAATGGAGATGGGGAGGGAACGGAGTTGCGCGACAGGCTCGGGGAAATCTGGGTGCTCAGAGCAAAGGACTGACAACAGCCTGGCAAGGAGTTTTTTCCAAAGCACGTTAGTCAGCAGGCACGTGAGTGGCCCGTGCTGGATTGTGGCCTGGGGCAGCGCAGTTCTGGTACCGTACCGGTTTGGGATAAGGTTATTATCAGATGTGGTGAGAGAAGAATGATTTGATTTAGAGGGGGTTAAAGCCTTGAAGCCTTGATTGGATTAGTTCTATTCAAGTTCATTGAGCCTATTGAACCTATTGAATCTATTAAATTGTCTTCCTTTCAATAACAATACAAATTGACAATACATTTGTCGGGTCCACTATCTACACGATGAAAGATCACACCTCAATTACACTCAAAATTCAAATAAAAGACTTGAATGGATTTACCTATTCTTTAGACTTGCGTATCTATGTTGCTCATCCGAATAACTCTGCATTGAGACTAATAGTAGCCGGGAAATCCTCCAGACCTCCATGGGAATCAACCCAACATGGAAAAGCAAAAGCAGAAAGAACAATCAAGGAAAAGACAGAACAGAACAGCCCCATGTAAGTCCCAGATGATTGGTGACGGATTGATAAGAATAGATACCACCGCTATGACCGATCATAAGCTCCCAAACTCCAAAACCCCATGCTCAAGATCAAGAACACACGTAAGATGCACTTTCAGAAGGTTCCCTTACGCATTTGGCGCCGCAAGGAGGGACCGCTTCACGGGAGGAGGTGGAGGGGGCTTCTTCGCACGAGATGGTGGAGGTGGAGGTGGAGCTTTCTTCGATCCCATAGTGTTCAAGTTGGTTGCGCTGGGTCTCCGGGATGGCACGCTGCCGTGAGATGTTGCTGGGGATATAGACCTGCCACCGCTAAACATCCGCTCGGGGCTAGAACGGCCATATGAGCTGACCTCTTCAGAGTCGGCGTAAGGGTCAGCGGAGAGTCGACCGCTTCCAACTTGGGCACTGCCTCGACGTCCAAACCCGCCCAGGTTCTCGCTGGCAGTCCGCTGCTGGACCCACTGTGATGCAACTGGCGATTGTTCTTGTCGCAGTTGAGCTGGGCCTTCAAAGGTGGGAACCCTGCTGAGAACGGGACGTGAAACCCCACTGGCATTTCCATAAGTCTCTCGCGGGGGGACTCGGAGTATGGCGTAATAGATCTGTTTGACCGGACGGGAGGGCGAGTGTCGGTGGCATTCATCAACTCTTCCTGCAATGGCTCGTAGCGTTCCTGGTACGAGTGGGCAGTGTTGGCACGTGGCCGGGTCGGACGACGTGGAGGGGCCTGTGCTTGGCTGTGCCTATTTCAGTATTAATATCACCACACGAGATGTGGCCAGGATCGATGCTTACCCTGTCCATTCATTCTTGAGCTGCATAAGAGCCTCACGGGACCGTTCATGATATTCAAGCTGGGCGTCCAAAAACGTCCCCATGTCCATAACATTGTCGGTTTCGGCTTCTTTGATGTCCTGCATACGACGCAGCACGTCGTCGCTAGCTTCCTCGTACTTCACTTTTTGAGAGCGTAGTTCTTCCTCCACGCGGAAGTCCTCCTTCTTAGCCTTCTCCATCTTAGAGAGCGAAGTATCGTACGCTAGCCGTCGGCTGTCGAGCTTCTTCCGAGCATGCTATGAGGCAGGTTAGTACGTGACCTTCCGCCTTCAATTGAGTGCGAGAGTCGAATGACATACCTGCAAATCTTTCATCTGAGTCAGGGATCTCTCCAGGGATTCAAGCCAGCTTGAAGTCGCCTGCGCGATGTAGCTTTCTTGGATACGCGCAATGCGCTCCTCGGTGCGACCAAATGCTAATCGAATTCTTAGCAATGCAATTCCTAAGCCCGCATTCCTCATATCAATATTCAGGACTTACTGATCAGACACTGTCCGTATTCTGAGTTCCCATCGAAGTCTTCGCCGTGGGCCACCATGCTACTCCCCAGATGGGCAATCGGGAGGGTCTTCTCTTTGTCATCTCCCTCATTGCGCTTCGAGATAGCTTTGACATAAGAGGTCATGGATTTATGAATGCGGTCAACGCCTGGAGGGGGAGAGAGAGCGTGGATCAGTATGGGATAAACTGCAGGTGCGGAAGGTGGTCACATCTTACCTTCATGTCGCACGCCCATCTCCGTCTCCATTGCCTTGAAATCATCCGAGAGACAGGTCTTGGCCTCTCCGCCCATGCGTTCTCCAGCCCATTGTTTGAATCGACCAATTCTCTTGTTCACGTGCATGTTGTAATGTTGGGATGTTGGGATGCTAATGGTATGTGGAAGGATAATCGAAACCAGCGATTGTGTAGAGTTGGAAGACAAATCAGAAAGGAATGTTCAACTAGAATGCTCTAGGATAAGAGTGAAGAGAAAAGACTGGGGGGGAAAGGGGAAAGGAGGTTGGGAACGGTTAGATTAAATCACTGGGGGGGGCACGCAATTATGATAAAATACCTAGGTAGGTAATTGGGGAATAGGCATCTCACAAAGTTACAAACAAGAAAATACAATGCATTTGATGCATGCAGTGTCGCCGATCTTGGTCAATCAGTGGGGAAGCCATTGTATTCTCAATCGTGTATTATTACCAGAAAAGAAAAGTAAAACCCCTAGTTATTTACAATTTATGTATATAGTACAATAGTACAATAGTTAGAGCTCTCCATCTCTCAGAGAGTCATTGTATTTCGTATAAAGCAAAGTACTAAGATACTAAGATACTAAAATACTAAATACTAAAATACTACTAAAATAGACTGAGACCAACTTTCCAGGAACACCCCCAGGCGGTTAAAGCTGTGACACGCGTTAGTGGGACCTGGTGGGGAGCCACTAAATCCCATTGGAAGCTTCAATTTATTCTGTTGATCGGTTCTCCGTACGGAGTACTATAATTATCTTTTCTTGCCACCCTGGTCCAGTCTGGAATATTTGTGAGTTCAGATAAACATTATTACTATACAATAATATACAAAATGTATACAAAATAAACAATGTATACAGAGTAATCGCTAAAAAAAAAAAAGGGGTTTCAAATGTGTTTCAGTTGATCCGTAGTCCCTCGGGGTTCTAGACTCTTGGGTCATTTACATACGAGTACGGAGGAGTAGATTAAGATCCAACACCAGTGGGTTGCATCGCCGCAATGCCAATGCCAATCAAATCTAAAACGGTACAAACCCCTGTAATTCCCATCATTCAATTCCTATTAGACTATATTATTGGTAGAAAATATTATATTGTATATACTTGTTCTCCAGTCCAAATATGGAGTATCCATATCGTAAATCATGTGGTCCCATCAAAAACATCACCCCAAAATCATTCGAGGGTCTATAGATAAGCCAGGCACCCACGTTTGTTCCATTTCAGAAGTCAATTCAGAAGCCAGCAGCACATCGAATTCATTCCAGCCACTCATAAAGGGAATTTCACCCCCCGCCGCCGACAGACCAGCCCCTTTCTCACCGTCCCAATCTAGATCCAGGATCTGACCATCCCTATCCCCAGAGCCTGAGCGCGGTGTTTTCGTTTCCACTCCAGTAACCCCATCGGATAGCGATGATTCCGGCGAGTGCAGGTTGCTCTGCGCAAGGCTCTCTGCATATTGACCGGGCGTAACGCCTACATGTTTCTTAAACACACGATGGAAATGACTGGGTGTCAAGCCAGCCTCCGCAGCCAGATCTCTTAATTTTGGTTTCAGCCCAGTCGTCAGAATGTTTCTAATTGACTCGCAGGCTTTGTCAATCGTGGCGGTTTGGGGGTTGCTTTGAGCCGCCGTCTGACCCGAATGCGGCCGGCAGCGCTTGCAGGATCGGAAGCCTGCTTTTTCTGCTTGCAGAGGAGTGTCGTAAAATTGGACATTGGCACGGCGGGCTAGTCGTGCTGGGCATGAGGGACGGCAGTAGATTTTTGTAGTAAGAACGGCGTAGACGAAGCTGTTGGCTGTTACGTCGCGGGTGGCGATGGCTTGCCACCGCTCTGTGTTGGTGAAGTTATGGCTAAGTCGGGGGATCTCTTGATGCTTGGATGGATATGCCATATTCACGGGGTGTCCAAATTGTAGCTATCTTTAAGATATTGCATTCATTGTGGCGTCGAACTCTAGGTAGAGGGGAGCCTCGGCAAATCTGATGATTGATCTCAAATTGACCAATCAGCATGCCTCAAATGAAGTACATCAGACATCACCTAGTTAACTAGTTAGTTAACTATAACTATGTGCAGTATCTACATGCAGGATTAAATAATTTCCCTGGTGTACTAAAATTCATCGCTAGATTGCAATTTCTTTCAAGATTGTATTACCTGTCTGGTTTCTACTCGGTACTTTGGTTCATGTATATAACTTGATATATATATCGTGCAACCCTAACTTCACCATGCATATCCTCTGCCACCAGCAAAGTGAAATAACCTTTGATTTTATAGAATACTTATTCGTTTATTCCTAAGCTAGAATAGCTCCAGGAGAGTCTGATATACTGAAGGCATTGAGAGTCTGTCTTCCTTTTGGGCCTACTGAATTTGCAGTGTTGCTAGGGAATAGATGGAACATTCCTCAGAACTGCAAACTATCCAAACACAAAAAGCGTGGGACTTGGCAAGCTGTAGGACCGATAAACTCAACTACCTCTGAAAAGAAGGAAGAGGTTAATATTGTCGACCAGAGAAGCCTGTATTAATATCGCACATATACCCATCCTAGACATGGTGATCCTACAGTCCGCGTGCCCCGTTTCCTGCATTTTCCAACAATTTCTCATTATCTTCAACACCGTCCCACAATTACCAAATCTCGCAGAGTCACGCACCACGTCGGCTACTAGATTCTCGAACAAAAGCTGATTATGTGGCTGTGCCATACATCCCAACACACACAGTGCCCACACCAGGCCAGTGAGAGAGTAAGCTTTTGGTCTATTCTGGAGCGCAATAATGCTTTTAGAAACCGCGCTTTGAATCTCCGGCAGTGCGGGAAGTGGTCCGGAAACGATTGTGTGCAGTAGAACCAGACAAGCAAGGGCGAACAGGAGCGTAACCCAGCCAGTTTGTGATTCATGATTTTCTTCTTTCTGGACATTCAACGTTAACACATCTCGAGATGTGGTAGTGGTTGATACTTACATCTTTGGTCAAATCAAGCTTCTCAATGCCCGTGGTTAAACGGTCTTTGATCTCCGCACCCCTCCTGGCTAGTTCACCAATGCTGAGTATACCCTCTTTTTCTTGCACTTCCTTCCATTCACCGAAGCAGGCTAGATCTCCGATGATGATCATAACCCAGTTTTCGCAACCCAATAGATCTGCGATGTGTATCTCAGGGATATAGAGCCATTGCTGATATGGAAGTTGTGGTACACGTCCCGTCGAGAGACAGGCGAAAAGATCAAGTGAAACCATTGTAGCAAGAAGGAACTCAAGGCCCATCTGTGGACGATCTTGAGATGGAATAGGAGACACCGGTTGAGATGTGTAGCGAGCATCGAATATAGTCTTAGGCGATAGTGAGTGCATGACACTTATGACAGCATCCAGATGCAGTAGCCAGTCGTGTTCAGCGCCTCTAAAAACCTAGACTCCTCATTAGATGTAAGATAAGTCAAAAGGTGGTCCGGTCCCTACCTACCTCACAGCTAATCATAATCAAACTACATGCCAGGAACTCGGCCAGCCGAGCATTATCGTCCAGTAATTTTCCAGGTTCCTCGCCCATGAATCTGCAGAACTCACGGAGTGCCCTGGAATGATACTCTAGCGCCCTTTCCTTTTGTTGATATTCCTCTTCACTCCCAAGAATTGCACTTTGGTGAAGCGATGAAAGGCTCAAGACGGCATGGTAGAGAGGCCCCCGCTTCATAAGAAGATACAAGAGCCAGCCCCGATTTCCTAGCCGGGATGTAGAGCGGAAATAAGGAAATTGCCATGCGAAGACCTGATCGAAATAATGCATTAATAGGGACGCAGCTTGGGGATCGAAAATGACATCTTGGCTAGAAGGCCGATCTAGAATTTCCAATGAAGCACTTGGCAAATGATTCGAGTCATCTTCCGTATCAAAAGCAGTCGAAGTATTAACATCCGAATTTGAAGAGGGTTGCGTTTTTTTATCTGCCTGAGGCAGCGAGGCCATCTTGGTGCGATTCTGCATTTTTCGGACTCGTCGGACATGTTGGTTGATCTCGGTTTTGATTCGGACTCTTTCTTTCTTTTCCTCTGATGCCCCGTCCATCCATGTTGGCTTTGGTCCATAGCCATGACAATGGACATTTCGGTCACTGCATTCCCTGCAGAATGGTATCGTTATGTCGCATTTTTTGTGCCGTACGCGACAAGTCCAACAACCAATCGATATAGCGCTCATTTGGACAAATAGTTATCGTGGAGGGTGTTCGTGTGGATTAGAAGAGACCAGTGAAATATCTGAGGGTGATCAGCGCCCCTCCTGACTGTGGGCCTCATGCCAGCCAAGTTATCCATTGACTCGGGGCCGTGGAAATTGTTTCATTTTGAACCAGGAGGTAGGAAACATAGTTAGGTCTAGGTAGGATGATTGGATTTACTGTCTATATTTTTGGAAGGTTCCTGTCTCTAAGGTCAAGGTGATGCTTTATCTGAGGGATCGACTCCCGAGCTCCATTACCGAATGACTTCACCTAAGTAGCGTTTGTCATAGTTAGGATATATCTGTTACTATCTATGAAGATAAAAATTATCTCGATCTTTTGATATACAACAGTGTTGTATATAGGTTGAGATAGGGCAGGTCGAGCCGGGACCTATACTGAGGGCAGGTCGAGCCGACTCAGTATGCCAAGAGCACTGGGACTATAGTCGAACCATACTGATAGTCGTTCAATATTAGCTATATAATATATCTGCTCGAAATATCTAATATAACATATCCTGTATAATTATCTTCGCATATAATTATTCTTTGCTCTGGGGCATTTCTTGCTTCTTCAGCTATTGAACTCGAAATCTCGAAAACATGGATAAAGACACCATCTTCTTCAATGGTCGTATCCTCACCCAGGCTGGCTCCGGTCTGCATGGAGAGCCCGTGTTTGCAGACAGCATGCTAGTGAAGAATGGGATCATCGCAGCAATTGGACAATACCAGCAAGTCCTCTCTGAATGTTCATTCGATGTGAAAAAGCGAGATCTCAAGCAGCAGACTGTCCTTCCAAGCTTTATCGATGGCCATATGCACCTTCTCCTTCTTGGCCAATCGCTTCGCAAGCTCGACCTCCGACCCTGCAAATCTTTGGAAGAAATTCGATCTACCATAAAACAGTACGCGGTCGCCAATCCCCGTATTCCGACTATTCTTTGCAAAAACTGGTTGCATTCCATGACCCCGAATGGTGTGACTGCCACGATGTTGGACGGAATTGATCCGAGACCCATCTTCATCGATGCAAGTTCGCAGCACTCATGCTGGATGAACACCGCTGCCCTGAAGGTTCTCGGTGCTGAAACTATGTCCGATCCCCCTGGCGGTACCATACATCGGGATGCCGAGGGAAAGCCTTCAGGTGTCATGGATGAAGGAGCTATGATGTCAGTTATCTGGCCATTCCAGGCAGTATCATCATCCAAAGAAGAGCGCATGCAATCGATTCTTCAAGCAATTCATGAATATAATGCGGCAGGATATACTGGCGTTATAGAGATGGCCATGGATGAAGAGGCATTCGATAGCCTTGTTACTCTCCGCTCAATGCAAACAGACCTCCCCATACGAATTGCCGCATACTGGCTCATCAAACCTACGGCAGACCACGAAGCCCACTCAAAACAAGTACAGCGTGCGGTTGAATTGAGTAAACAGTACAATTCCAGCACCAGCCCCGATCTTCGGATTGTTGGTGTTAAGGTTATCTGTGATGGAATTATCGACGCGTGCACTGCTTTCTTGTCCGAGCCATATGCGCCCATTGGTTCGCCTCCACCTATTTGGGAAGCAGAGTATTTGGATTCCGTTGTCAAAGAAGCGGATAGTGCAGGCCTTCAAATAGCCCTCCATGCAATCGGAGATGCAGCAATCAAAATGGCTATTGATGCAATTGAGAAGCATGCTAGTCCAGGGAGACGCCACCGCATCGAACATATTGAACTTGCATCTCCTGAGGATGCAAAGAGGCTAGAGAGAGCTTGGTCTGACGGCGTCCATCCAGCCTGTGCATGCTGATCCCTCTATTCTGACTGAGTGGCCACGTCTCATTGGGGAGGAACGTTGTGAGAGGGCATTTGCATACCGCGAATTCGCAGATGCTGGGGCTCTTATGGCGATTGGGACTGATAGTCCTACCGCGCCTTGGATGCCAATGAATAATCTTTACGTGGCTACCACGCGAAAGTCGTCTAGAAACCTTGAATACACCAAGGTTGTTAATGAGAATTTCCGTCTAGGGATGTGTGAATCTATTGTTGCTGCGAGTGGTGGTGCAGCACGCAGTGTTTTTGCAGAAGAGCGGACAGGAAGCCTGGAAGTTGGGAAATTGGCGGATTTCATTGTTGTTGAGATGGAATGGGAGGCAAATGCGTTGTTGCAGGCGAAGGTCAAAGAGACTTGGTTTGAGGGAAGGAGAATTTGGGGTTAATTGGATATTTGGAACGACCTGTACATAGAAAAGGCGTATAGGCCTCAGGATAGTATGACATGAAGTTGATGAAGGGGCCATAGAAAGGATGGGGAAAGGAGATGCAACTGGCGTTTGCACGACACCGTATTGCGCTGCGTTTGTGCTGTGTACTTCGTTTATACAACACGGTGAACTTCCCATTGCGCAGCTGTTGTGCATGGAGCATTATCACATAACAATGAGTACAGTATTGGTGTAGAATATACCTAATAACATTGCTAGACTTGTTTGGACTACACCAGTGAGATATGGGCTACATAGGTTCATATATACATCTAGTCAACATCAAAGGGACCGGATACATACACCCATGTCTTGGAGTTGATCTTGGAACTATTTGTAGGAAGAAAGCTTTGGGCTTCACTGCCGCATAGCATCGACAACAGGCCATGGCGACAATGATAATGCAGTACAGCATATATGCCGATGAATTACGGCAGACTGTAGTATCTACTAGGGTGATGGACAAGAACGAGTAAAAATTTAAAGGTGTATCATTCCACAGCCCGAAGGGCCTTTTGATTTCGTTTCTGCCCTGTAGAGGCCAACCCCGGACCTCTTTCCATCACCCTTTAATTTGTTCGACAAGAAAAAGGATGGTGTCCACAACCTTAATTCGCTAAGGGCGCACGAGACGCTCATCCGCAGGCGCCTAAGTACATTTGTCTCATAGCAGAATTCCATTTTCAACCCGTCACAAGAATAACTCCAAGAAAAAGCACCCTTAATCCTTGGTCTTCTGGGTACCGCGGAGCAGACCAGTTCTGCGGGCGGCAATGAGACCAGCCTTTTGACCCTGGGTAGCGTAGCGGGAGATGGTCGAGGCCTTACCGATGTGCTGGTGGTTACCACCACCGTGGGGCTGTAGAGGGAGATGTTAGAAATTGCGGTCCTGGATGTTATCCGGTCTGTGTATGGACTGAAACTTACGTGATCGACGGGGTTCATGGCAACACCACGAGTCTTGGGCCAAGAGTTGCGCTTGACGGCGAACTTGTGCTTGGCACGACCGGCCTTGAGCAAAGGCTTGTCGGTACGGCCACCACCGGCAACGATACCAACCATACCGCGGGCGGTGTTCTTGATGACCTTCTTGGCACCGGAGGGGAGCTTGACACGGGTCTTGCCATCCTCGGGGTTGTGGCCAATAACGGTAACGTAGTTACCGGAGGTACGGCCAAGCGAACCACGGTCACCAGACTTCTCCTCGACGTTGGTAACGACGGTACCCTCGGGCATAGAGGAGAGGGGAAGGACGTTGCCGACGGTCAGGGCAGCGTTCTTACCGGCGTAGATGAACTGGCCGGTGTACATGCCCTCGTTGGCGATGAAAGTCTCGGTGATCATCTTGAACTTGTAGGGGTGACGGAACTGGACCTTGGCGAGGGGAGCACCACGGCCGGCATCGTGGATGATCTCCTTGACGACACCACGGGTGTAACCGTGAGCCTCAGCGAAATCGAGGGTCCGGAATTGGGCAGGGGCCTTGTTCAGGCGGGTGTTGGCCGCTGTAAAGTAGAGAAAAAAAAATTCGATATCAGCACTCCAATCTCCTTGCGAATCTGTGTGGGTTTCCAATGGCCTCCTCTATTTCCTCCTCGCTGCTCGGGGTGCGCAGCCTCAAAATTTCGTGCTGGAATGATTTGCGGTCGCACTCACTGAAAATGGAGCCACGGCCCTTCCTCTGGTTGCGGATGACACGACCCATGGCGACTGTCTATACGAGGATCCTGTGTTAGTATGGAAGCCGGACAGAAGTGTCGTGGGAAAGTGGTAAGCGTACCTCGAAGTGAAATAGGCTTGTCGTTGACGAGTTGAGAAATCATCGGACACGGGGACTTGTGTGGGCTTTAGGGTGCGGTCGCTAATCTAACCCAATCGGGTATAGCGCATGGTCGCTTACTTGAATTGGCTTGAACTACAGCAACACAGGCATTTACAGAATAGGCCCTTAATCCTTGGGCTTTTTGATGTTTATAGATACTAATTGTTCTAATAAATTAAATGAAGTATTCGAAAATACTGTTCACTCTAAAAATCTCCATATAATCTTTATTTATGTCTGAAGAGCCTCTTTCTATGCAAGCCCTGTAGATTTTGGGAGGGCAAGTTATGTCATCACTACCCACGTGATTGCCAAGACCCGATATCGCCAAGACTTCTCGTTTTGGAGTGTTACTTCTCTTCCTAAGACCTCGGAACAGCCGTGTCTGTGTACTCCATACTTTGAGCTATTTTAGCTATGGGTTTGATGTGATGACATTGTCAATGAAAGGAGACCTAAACTGGCTTGGGCCATTCTTGCCTCTCAAACATTTACAGATGTCAATATCAAACGCGTTGACAGAGCTCGTCGCGTACTTCCAGTATGAAAGCAAGAGATATGTAAAGTCGTCTCAACCAGTTGCATCCATTTCTCATTAGGCCATTGCATCTCTTTGGCTGAATTCCTTTTTTTGAAAATACCAAATAGAGCTTCATCAGTCCTCGCTGGCTCTCTTGAACTCTATCTCTATACATAAATTTGCAAATTCCAAGCCGCTTTCATGCCAATTGTCTCATTTGTTTGAATCATGCTCTTCTAGAATACTGCAAGAAGCTCCAGTAAAAAAAACCAAAACCAAAAAAAAAAAACGTACGAACAAAGGGAGCAGTTGTGTCTGGAATCTTTTAAATAATTGCCCTTCGGGCGCAAGCTCGGTGCAGACGTGACGCTCGATTGCGCGCAACTTACTTCTTCTTCCTTCAACACCTACCCCCATCACCTCCACCATGCCTTCAGATTCAGAACTTTCATCGTTATCATCGGCACCTCCGACGGACGACGAAGATACTATGGCGATTGACCACCCGACTGGTATCGCAAAGTACTTCAAGAAGGAATCTGAGACGCCGCCACCGAAACGGGAACCGTCACCTCCGCATGAATACGTCGTGGCCGACAACCCCGATATTGCGGTGAGTTCACCTCGCACGAAGATTTTGCGCATTGCTTGATTTACGGACATGTATATGACGCGTTTGGCCAACAACAGGACACCCTTGCTGAGTTATCGCAATCTTTAGTTCATCGTCGCGTTCCGCGCGCGTTTCCATGAAGTGTTCCCCAAAGGAGTGCCACACTACGGCCCACAGGATATCGAGAAGGGGATTGAGGAGTCTTCCCCCGGCGAAGATATTGAAAGACTTCTATGCGCATTGCTTGGGCTTGTTCTAAATCGCAAGAAGGAAGTCGAGTATGGTCGCCACCCGTCGCCCGATACCGTGCGGAGTGCTTAAAGACGCGCGCGCTTTCCACTCCCACGCTATCAGTTATCAAGTTAAGTGCTAATGTAATTTCTGAAATGCAGACGAAACCACTTCACCCGTCCCCTGGAAGAAGCAATCCATACACATCAGTCGCAGTGGCCAAAAGAATGGGAAGGCAAAAACCCCTTCATGGGGGTGGCAGTTTTGCGACCATGTCCCCCGTGGAACGTGTATGTTCTTAAGACCTTCCACAGCACCCGATTTATGATTCTGATATGTCTCATCTTAGTTGCGTTTATTGAAGGTATTGATACTGTGGTCACTTTCGTCGTCCGAAGCGGTCCAGGCGAAGATTAAAGAATCCTACAAGCAGGCGCGTCACGATGATGATCTCAATCAACCATTGTCTGTCCAACCCTGGGGGCGGGATAACCTGAAACGTCGTTATTGGCTTATCGAAGGGCACGATGATACAAATTTCCGTCTCTACCGCGAAAGTAACCCGGCTCTTAAGCACAACACTTGGTGGAGCATCGCGGGGAGTATTCCCGAGCTGGAGGCCGTCGTGGAGAAACTTGAGGGCGAAAAAGGCACAAACTCGAAGAAGCTTAGCGAAAGAATTCGCGCTTCGATCCCTCGATTTGAGGCATCAGAAGAGGTGATTATCAACCTTGAGAGTACATTGGATTTTGCTAATAAATTTCTAGAAACGGAGACGCCGCGAATATCGTCTCGCACGAAAGGCTGCCTTCGTTCGTCCGGATCCTGGGTTCTCCATGTATGAAGGTCGTACACGCGGCAAGAAACTGAAATACACATACTCGGACGACGAAGACATCTTTTCTGACGATGAGCCTTCCACCCGTCGTTCTACTAGAAATGCGGTTCCTACGGAAGCTTCCACACAGTCTAGACGCACTCGATTCACGGCAAGCGGGAGGCAGATTCGATCTCGCGCCGGTGGTCTCTATGGCGAGGCTCTGTTGACTGGTCAACGCAATGGAACCGATGACGAAGAGTTCGATGAAGATGAGGAAGAAGAAGTAAGCAGACCGCAGAGGGCTCGGACTTCGACCCACCCCAACGGATACTCTGGATACGACGCCGATGATTTGGAGGATGCATCTGAAGTCCATTCAAGCGCGAATGAAAGCGGCAACGAATGGCGAGGCGCTGAAGACGATCTGGAGCACGATTTGGAAGCCGACAACGAAGAGGAAGAAGCAAGCGCAGATGAGTCAACCGGCAATGAGGAGCCAGAAAGCCTTGTTGTGCAACTTAGATATGGTAAGGGAGATGCATCTAGCAATCCGGAGGTCGAGATTGAAAAATCACCACCTGCGGAAGATATCGAAATGAAGGATGCCGGAGAAGCTGCAGCAGCTTCCTCCGCCAAACCACCGCCGACGACCCTCCCCCATCAATCAGAGTTGGGTGTGCAGCAGGACCTGACCACAATTGCACCTTCACACCCTTCTGCTCCGATACCCCAAGTCCCGACTAATCCTGCAGCAGCCGTAGCTGCGCCATCTGTTTCTTCGAACGGTGTGAATCAAACTTGAATCGTTTGACTATAAATTCGGATTCGCCTCAGCCTAGGCGTTTCCGCTTGCTTCAGTCAGACTAGAAAGAGACTGGGAATATACATTCTACGAAATGTTGCTAGATAGATCTTTTTGGATTGCAATTGTACTTCTATCGAGCCATGGATATTGGCACTAACGGAATACGAAGTAATGGAATGGAGGTACCAAAACATTGTCTTTCTCATAAGCAACAAGTTCAATAGTTACACAGTAGATATGACATGTACTCGAGATCTATACGGAGTTGTGCCAACTACGCAAATGTTGTATTCTCACGCGGCACCCCGTGAGGTCTGCCCGGTATCAGGTATATGGCAAGAGATAGGATAATCTACTTTGTAGTAGAGTCGAGGGATATAAGAAATACAAATGGGAATCAACAACAGCAGGCGCTTCCAATAGCGCAAACGCCAAAAATGCAAGCAATACAGTGTACACAGAAGCCAGTCACCAGACCTCTGAATTAAACTACTAACAGGTCGTATCCAATGCAGAGACGACCTCAGTCAGAGCCTGCATTGGAGAACTGGGCTGTGTAAAACTGCAAAAACTCCTCGAGCGTCAGTGTCTCCACTTCTGGTCGAGATCAGATGGGGAATCAGTGATTGAGGAAGCAGATACTCACATCTTCAACCTGTGACGCTAGTTTAGGGTCCCTGGTCGAGCCAATTTGCGGTAGATGCCAGTTGTTCACTTCGTACCACCATCTACGAACACGACTGCCGAGGGTGTGCCCGCTAACTGAGGCATTGCGATTCCAGAAGCGCCAGCCGGAGAGCGCGAGTGTCCAAACGGTTCCTTGGATCAGAGGGAGAAGTACCTAGAAGGGAAAAGATTGATGTGTTAGGCCGGTATTGCCAAATATATTGTTCTTGACACCCTAGGGGGATTAAATGAATCGCGGCACTGCATACCTGATCCCTAGTAGTAATCCACGCCACTCGTCCCCAGGTGTCGGCATCCTTAATGCTGGCCAGATAGCTTTGCTCGAAGCGTAGGTCCGGAAGAGGAGGAAGAGTCTGTCGCCGGTGGACCGGTCGAATTACTCGGCTTGGGTGGACAATGTCGGAGGCAATGCTGTTTGTTTCGGAGTCTGGGCCTACAACGACGGGTTGTTTCTCTGAAGCTGTAGTGGCTGGGTTGAGGTCATGAACTGGGTCAGGATTGTGATTGATGCTCGCAGATTGGATAATCTGGGGAATTTCCATAGCATGGCCGGCCATTTTGGTGGATTATAATATGATCAAAAAGCTTGGGGTGAATAGAAGCAGCACTTGAGCTCCCAAGGTCGTTCGGCTGTTACCGGTGGACCGGGGATTCGCAGTCCGCTCTTTTCTGCCAACCCCTCTATCTCCTCCATATCCCTCCCTCCTCCCACCTTTTTACTTCAATTCCATTCTCATCCTCAATTAATCATATCACAATGGCTGCTCCTCAAGGTTACCCTCTTCTGTGTCTGGAGAACCCTCTCCTCGGTATGTGAAGTATCATATCATCTGGACATGTTTATAAAATACTAACGTACTTACAATAGACATCCAGGCTCGTGGGTATGAATGAACCTGAAGTAAAATAATGCCAAGTTCCTCATGCTGATAATATTCCTTAGCGATGCCGCTCTCCTGGAGAAGTATGAGCTGAAGCCCAATGATGCTATCCTCGCTGAGGACAAGCACATGGGTATCTACGAGGACCTGCTTGCCCGCGATGCCAAGCTGATCCCCGGTGGTGCCGCTCAGAACACCGCTCGTGGTGCTCAGGTATGCATTAAAAAAACACTCTAGTGATCTGCAATATGGATATTAACAATCCTCTCAGTACATGCTGCCTGAGCAGTCCGTTGTCTACATCGGTTGTATCGGTAAGGACAAGTTCGGTGATGTCCTCAAGCAGACTTGCGAGGAGGCCGGTGTTCACACCGAGTACCGTGTCGATGAGACCCAGCCCACTGGTAAGTGTGGTGTTGTCATCACTGGCCACGACCGCAGCATGTGCACCCACCTCGCTGCTGCCAACGAGTACAAGATTGAGCACCTCAAGCAGCCCGAGATCTGGTCTCTGGTTGAGAAGGCCCAGTTCTACTACGTCGGTGGTTACCACCTGACTGTCTGCGTGCCCGCTATCATCGCCCTTGGCGAGGAGGCTGCCGCTAAGAACAAGGTATATCATTTGCATTCTGATTCATTTGACCTCTTGTCTAATCTATTTATTTTCATCAGACCTTCATGCTCTCCATCTCTGCTCCTTTCATTGCTCAGTTCTTCAAGGACCAGTTGGATAGCGTTCTGCCATACACCGACTACACATTCTGTAACGAGACTGAGGCTATTGCCTACTCCGAGGGCCACCAGTGGGGCACCGAGGATATCACCGAGATCGCCAAGAAGTTCGCTCAGCTCCCCAAGAAGAACACCCAACGTCCCCGTGTTGCCATTGTCACCCAGGGCACTCTTCCCACCATTGTCGCCATCGGCTCTGCTACCGGTGCCGTCGAGGTGAAGGAGTTCAAGGTCCGCGAGGTCTCCAAGGACTCCATCAACGACACCAACGGTGCTGGGTGAGTGATATTGATCCGAACAACCCCACATCTAATTTATGCTAACCTCTGTCCCCTATAGTGATGCCTTCGCCGGTGGTTTCTGTGCTGGTATCGTCTCCGGCAAGTCCCTCGATGACAGCATCGACATGGGCCAGTGGCTCGCCAGCAAGAGCATCCAGGAGCTTGGACCTTCGTGAGTTTTCCTCCAAGCAATACATTACAAGAATACCCACTAACAACTTTCAACCCGCAGCTACCCCTTCCCCAAGCAGACCTACTCTCGCTCTTAAGCGTTTATAATGTAGGCTACGAAAGAAAAAGCATAGACTACCAAAACACCTTCAACACATCTACCAACCTAATTTTGGAAGATTTTGTGCGATAATCCAGTTCAACAACCGGATGAGCACCACTTGACTTTGGATGATTCAACCCTCTATACCCAATTTTTCCTTTTCTTAAAACTTGATGACTTCAACGTACTGTCTGACCTCAAAAAATCGAACAAAACCCATACTTTCTTGAGAATTTTGTCCTTCAAATTATTTATGGCTATTCTTGTTACGGCCACTTGATGAATGAACATACATATTCGGGCGATCTACCTATTGATTCGCATGAAAGAGCCCATCCCCTAAACTGAAACTACTATGAAAAGAAGCATGTAAAATGCAAAATTGAATTTCAACTTCCACGACGGTGTCAAGAGAGCAACGAACCCCAAGCAATCTGCAGGGTCATACTCATTTTGGATATCACCGTAGGTTCGTGCGACATAATTCCTCGACGAAAGAAAAGACGACAAGACAAGGCTAAGGTTGATGGGGGATAACGCGGTTCCAGGTCATGTTGCATGAAAAGAAGAAAAGGCAGAAAACAGAACAAAACAAGCGTCTTCTCCGATGGCAGATTGCCCATTTCATATCCTCGTATTGATCATGTCGCGTGTTGAACGCACGTATCCGTCCAGACAAATCGCGAGGAGAGCGAGGACCGAGGCAGTTCCTGCATTCTGGAAAATAAAGAAAACAATATCCTCGCCACTAGAGGACCAGTGCGGGGATCTGTCACTTGTGAACTGGCTAGCAGTAATACAATCTCGTCTGGTCGTTGTAAAGGTGCATACTGTCAGAGTAGGACTGGATGTGTAGACTCAATGCAAACAAGGTCGCATCGCATTGCAGTCAGTACACAGGCGGTCACACTCATAGACAAACACAGTACACGCCAGGATAGTTGGAGGTCGAGTTGCACTATTAAATTCCGACAGCTTGCCCGGCTGGTAGTGTGATATGCATATGCACATAGAAGAACTGAAAAATGAGAGCTTGGATATTCGAATCAGCCTCCTTGGCCACAAGGTGGGGTTTGGCCGACTGATCCAAGCTGTGTTGCAGGCTTGCGTCCTCCGATCCCGGAGCTGTAGGGAGTTGCCCCTGCGAGGCTGCTGGCAATGAAAGCGTCATTAGCCCATGAGGGATGACTCAGGCCGCTGGACGTCATCTGGCTCGGGAGTTCGAATGCACCGAAGGTCGCTCGGCCATGATCCCAGCCGCTGGCGGTGGGACGAGCATGAGACACGTTAGACGACACCCACGGCGTGGGCATTGATCCAACATCCATCGAGTTTGAAAACTGAGGTTGGGTCATCAGGTGCTGTCGGAGCATGAGCTCATTTGCTAGCTGATCTTGCGACTGTGAGTGGTGAGAGGGCATAACATTCCCAACAGCCATGGAATGCAATGGAGCTTGCTGGTTAGGTTGTGGGCCAAGGCCAGGTTGTGGGCCAAGGCCAGGGGGCGTTCGTGGAGGGGGCGTGTCTCTCAGTGGTGTCCAAATACTGGGTAGGCTGGGGATAGCAGGCCGTGGAGTGTATGACTGACCCGATGGCACTCTGAGAGGCTCGGCTGCGTTCATGACTGGTGGGCCAAGCCCAGGTGGAGGGGCGATTGGGGTACTGAGTGGTGGGGAGTTTTCCTCACGGAACGGATATGCATTGACATTGACATTGGGTGGGGCATGCGTAGGTGTCGATATTTCCCCCGAACTCATGAAAGCAAATTTGTCATTGGGCGGGGTTTCATACGTGTCCGAGTCAACAAGTCGCTCAACGCCCTCAACGATCTCATGCATGTTGGCGGACATAGAGGCCGAAGCAGACTGGGAACCGCCGAACAGGCTTTGGGCCTCTGCAGCAGAGTATGGATGTTGAACGGTCTGTGGGATATCCTCGCGCTCGATGCTCGCAGCCGAAAGTGCATGCTGGCCATGGGGGCTGGAATAGAACTGCGGAGGCAGACCCTCTTCCTGATAGATAAAGGTCTTCTTATCTTCACTATCCACAAGAGCCACCGGAATTTTCTATAGGAGGTTAGTAATCTGCTTGCTTGTTTATAGTATCTTAAGTGTCTTTCACGTACTCCTCTCACAACCAAATCGAGTCCATCGATCACGAATTCACGAATCCGATAGAGCATTTCCATGTTGGGGTGACTTCTTTCAATCCCAATATCGTTCATCCGGGGCTTTGGCCGATGTCCACCTCCAACGTATCGACGAGAAGTGGCATCCTGATCCAGAGGTGCAAAGCCAAGACTTTCTTCGTCTTCTTCCAATAGATAATCGATCTCGGGAAGGCTAACCACATCGAACGAGGATGCGAGCAGGCTCAGTGTACCGGCATAAATTTTCCAGAACTCTTTGATTTGAATCGAGAGCGCCGAATCCTTTTCCTCTTTCTGCTCAACCAAAGACTGGCTATTTGTAAGTAGCCAGGAGCTGTAATGGCGAAGCGCGGGCAGGATCCGGCGAGCAACCACAGACACCTTGTCTGGGATCGGCATCGCGTCTTTACTGTTGGGATCTTCAAAAGAAGCAGTCCGTTCTAGTTCGACTAAAAGTATTTGCAATAAGGTGAAAAATGTCTTCACATTGATGCGTTGGAAAAAGACGCGTGCTTCCAAGACAGACTCATCTGAGAGAAATAGGTAAGCAAATGCATGAGACGAGCAATGATATTGTTTTGAATTCTTACCAATGGACCGGACCTTAGCAAAATCCTCGGCCGCGATATTGACGAGACAGAACTTTTGAAGTGTCCCTTCTAGTGAGCGTTCTCTAATTTCAACTGCTAGTTGACTAAGAACTTCGCTCTCTAACTCATCGTGCTCTGGGAAGTCGGTTCCCTTGTAACATTTGGCGTGAAGATAGAGAAACCACGGAGTCAAGGCCCTTCCAGGGATACCAGCATCTTCGGGGCGGATCAGCTCTCGTTTAGCCCAGGCGCTCATGATTTTTCGGAGTTCAATCTCCAGATTGCCCTTCGCAGTAGGATGAGGTTCTTGGGCTGAAAGTGCTCTGTACAGATGGTAGGTAGCACGAAGATGATTTCCATCCGCGAGAGCGATGATTGCCAATTGGTTCTGAGATGCGCCCGATGCAGGGTTGATCACCGATGCCAGATCATAATAACCGATGGCAGGGCCCCAGTTGCGATCCTTGGTGACGAGTTCCGATTCACGATAGCGGGAAAGATCTCCCAGCCGGATAAGGGTCCCATGGCATGACTGGAGAATGAGCTCGCGGACATCATTGGTGGGCCTGATATGAGGTTGGCCGGAAAGATCTAGAAACAACCGAGGGTCAGCGTGTCTAGAAACCCGGCGCGCGGATTGTGTGCTTGTCTTACTTTCAAAATTGAACTTGCGCGCAACTCTCTCCAACTCCACAATCCCCCCATAGCGCGACGACAAATGCTGGATGTATCCTCGGTAAAACCGCTGGCTTGACTTGATGAAATCGAGGTAATGGCGTTCGAGTTTCCGCCTTTCAACTGGTTTTTTCTTGCCGTATTCTTCGCGAAGCTAATTGACACATAGACACAGTCAGTGAATCCACCCCTGCGCAAAGCCTCGGTGGGGGTACTCACGCGAAGCAACTGCTTGCGAAACCGATTGTTCACTTTCAAGTGCGCATCCCAAAGACGAGTCTCCACATCGGCCTCGCGAGCAGCATGGAAGTCGAGGAGAATTGCATTTTGAGAAGAGGTCCGGAACCTATGTGCAAAGATGTTATGTTAGCCTTGATTCGGCGTGCGCGCGCGGGGCTCACTGACTCGGAGAGAAAATGTTCGAATTCATCGAATGTGCGCCGTTCTTGCGAGAAGCATTGCAGAAGCTCCTTCTCAGCTTCTATGGCAGTCCTGTATCACATCACTGGTCAATGTTCACAATCCAGCCGAAATCGAGGGGAAAGCACTAACTTCCAGGCATCCGTGAACCAGGGCGCCATCAGGAAGTTAGCCCGGGAATACCGAGCGTCAACCTCGCCGGTCAGATGGCTATGGCTTGGAATATCAGCGGCGGAGGAGCCATCAGTATGTGAAAGACATGGGGGAGCACGCTGATGGGGATGAGAGCCGAGAGTATGAGATTGCATGAATGCGGTTTCGGTCTACTATCCGCTATGATTGGTGTTGCCAAGGCGGGAGGTATCGTGTATCCCGTATGTGGATTACGGGTTTTATTTCCAAATCAACAGAGTCGCAAAGGGACAAGTTGATAACACATGCGCCAAGTCAAAGAAGGTGAAGATGAAGGTCAAGATGCTGAGAATGTAATAAAAATAAATCTCACAGTGTTATAGATCGCTCGGCGGGCGACATCATACGGAAGGTTGTAGAATTCAATGTTAACAGTGTATTATAGCTGTCTGTCCATGTTTTCGGACTACATATGTAACCTCCAAGACTATAATAAGATTAACTATAATAAGTTCATATCTGATGAACTGTTTATACGAGATGTCAGTACTGCTACATATACTGTTGAGGTTGCCCAAACCCTAACTAAAGTAAGAGACTATGTAACTATCTAACTAATAACCTGAATGGGAAAGTAAAAGAGACATTGTTATCCAAGTAACTAGTTACAGTATGAACTACATGTATAACTAACTAGTTAACTAGAAACCTAACCGCTCGTCTCCTCTTCTGACCCCAAAAAGTTATAAACATACGGAGTATAAAACCTCATGTATTCTATTCCGAGAAGGCGGAGAGTGGAAGAAATTGTCTCGTATGGTCACTGTCCTCCTCCGTACGCTTATCCTCTTGTACTCTCGCCAAGGTGACCTATCAATTGACTATATGCAAGGTGAATTAGACCATGTCGAAACGATTTCGAAGTCGCTCGAGATCTTCATCTCTCGATCATGACACAATATCAGTATCATCACTCGCAGTGAATACTACAACTCCTCCTCCTGAGCGTAACAAGCTCATCGACAGTGGTACCAATATCCTTCCCGAAGTGATGCATTGCTCCTTACCGCCTCACCGCGAGACACTCTCGTTCACGTCCTACGAAGATTACGAGGTCCATTATCTTCAGTCCCATGTCAACCGCTGTTCAGTATGCAGCAAGAACTTCCCCACTGGTCATTTGCTCAACATACACATCGAGGAGAACCATGACCCGTTAGCTGCGGCGCGGCGAGCCCGTGGAGACAAGACTGTAAGCTCTAGTCCGCTTCCTACCAGATCGGTTGATACGCACTTTACTAAACAAAAGCAATAGTACGGATGTTTCATCGAAGACTGCG